AGTGAGTGTTGATGGTATTTGGCTAGGAAGACAATAAAAGCTTGACGATTAAATGATCCAGCTGAAAGAATGCAACACAACCAAGATCATTTATTTGAGCTACAGGTGTCCTCTGTCATTTTTGATACTTTCTATTTATAAATTACTGTAGACTAACCTGAGTGAGAATGGAGATATTTACATCTAATTATCTTAACAGGTGAATGTAAAACAACAAGAAAACTATTCTGCCATTCGATATGTAAAGACTGAATTCTATTCTTAGGGGAGTTTAAATTGCTTTTTCTAACAAAGTGCAGATTGCAGACTACCTTTGTTGATACTGTAGTCTAATTGATGGCTACTAATGGAATCCATGACGCGCGTTTCGTGCCAGTTGGGCGTCATTTCGGTGTACCTATCTGCCAGTGAGCGATGTTATCCCCACTGAAACTGAAACCCAATGTCCATTGCCATAAACGACAAAGCGTTATCCACTAAAGCCACTGGAACACGAGAGCCACCTCTTGTGCAGCAGGTATTAGTTGTTGTTTTTAATGATAGCCGTAACTGCAATTCTTGTAACAGTTTTTAAAATACTTGTAATTCAAGTCTCAGAAGGGATATCACTCATTAGGATGCAGGTACATCCAGCTGATGAGTCGCGAATAAGATGAAATGCACGTTCTGGATTTCACTGTTAGCCGCCAAGTAGACTACAATGTAATAACAATCCGGACTGCGTCGAAATATCTAAATGGTTGCACATCTATCAAGTAAGGTCCATCAGTTAGACATAGAATAGCAACGGGAAGTTGCAAGTATTGATATCAACTATCTTCATGCAATATAAAAATCTTACATTGTATTTTACTTTCGCTTTTCGTTCTCCTCAGTTGAGATGATTAACTTGGCCGAGAGACGTAGTCAATACAAGTTTCATGCTGTTAACAGTGATATACACAGTACTAGAAACTCCTTTTTTTCTTATCAAGTAGACTAAAATTCTAGGCATAATCGCTTACATAACGTATGATCATGTTAGCTGAAAATAAACAGAAATAACTGGGCGATTAAGCCTTCAGCTACAGGATGCATTGTTTCACTTCAGTATCTTATTGTAGCCGATTCTCAATTGTATTACTATTGATATGACATTGGCGGTTTCATATACTAGTTTGCAAAAAAAGTATTGTAGAGAACGCATGCAAAATGACCAAAAATATTTCTCTGACACTACTTATTAAAGGAGGATAAGAGAAACTCAAAATACCCACTTGGTCACAGCAACAGAGGTGAAGGTGATGCTTCAAGCAATTTACTTTGGCAATAAGCATAGAGCTTCAAACTACAACTGAAATAAGTACATTTTACTAAGCTCGAACTGAAAGGGATGAATCGGAAACTTTCAGTTCTAAAGGTATGCGAGAAAACAAATCATGACTTGGAAGTTACAAAGCACAAAGTCCCATATGTATGGATATTTAAGACTTTAACCAAAACTAAAGCATAATTATCAGTGCTTCTCAAGATGACTTACTGACCGTTTGAACAGGTTTGTTGACCGAACCATCTGTCTACAATGAATTTCTAGTGGCTTTAAAACTCAGTCTAACAACTGCTGAGGTATCCAATTCCATTCCCCTACTTTATGAAAAATTAACAATCCAACCGAAATACCTAAACGTGATTCGTTATTTTAGTAGTTGTTAGGGTTACCTTCAAAGGGTCTCAATTAGCTGTAATGTAACTGTTTTGGAATAAAAATAACCAACAATGCTCAACAGGATAATTTTCTGATGAAGTGAAACTGCTGAGGTGTGCTAATTTGCGTTGCAGCAGGGAATATCTCTAGAATTTGGAAACGTCGTTAGAACAAATGCGGATTCTGGTAACTTTATTTCTGGCTTTACAATCACACTTATTATTTATTCAGCATGAACATTTGATACTGTTACAATCAGTGGAAGTCAAGGTTAAATATATGAATAGCACGGATAACAATAGTAAAAGTAGGTAACACTTTTTACAATCTCCCAAATCAGTTAGTGGGAATGTATGCGTAAATTGTTTATGTATACCTTGAAAAAAGGACTTGCATACCGTTTGTTTGCTGCTACTTGACGTGATAGGAATGACTAAAAGTTTAAAAACTAACCGATGTGTTTCAGAAGGTCAGAATCAAGGTTATGGCTTGGTGCAGTGGTGCACTTCCTTCTACATGTGACGATCATATGTACAATAATTCATTTTCATTTCAATGAATAAATCGTTAAGTAATCTAAATAAATTCTTCTGTACCTAAAATCGCAACAGCAGCAAAACGTTTTAAGATGCATTCATTATGCATTTTAGGCTAGCAAATTTTATTCTCCCTTCAAAGTGCTTATGATACAGAGCTATTAACTAGGACGATCAGCAAATTATTTTTTTGCTATGTGTATCTACATACATCTTTGTTGATAGTATATGTACATAACTGGGAAATAAAACAAGGTTATACTTGTTAGCTACTTATTATAGTCTGAGAGCCGTATGAATTTTCCAGCAGCAAAAGATACCGGTAAGTCACATGGGTGCAATCGTTTCACGTAATTATATACCTACCACCTGGAAATCTTGTCACTGTTTCAACTGTTCTTGACACTTTAGCTACAGATCCCACCATACAGATGAGAAAACAACTGTTTCCGTAAACCCGAAAATGACTAAAGTTTTGGTGCAGTCTGATCGCTTGAAGAAGGATGTCAAGGAAGGAAGTGAATAGACGGTGATCGGCTCAAGTAATCAGAACAGACTTAACAGTTAAGAGGGTTAAACATTGAAGATCTAGTTTTAATTGAAAACACATTATTTACGTTCAAATTACTTTGTCTAATGATGACAGCTAACCTTTCATTTTATCTTAAATTCGTAATGATTATATTATGTATCACGTAGTCCACATAATAACTTATCTACAATTCCATGTACAAAACCACATTATACACCAAGAAATACACTTATGAAAAATTTACACAAAATAGTCATGACACGATATACAACTATGTTGTGAGATTTTTAGTGCTAATCGAAGTTAAATGATCACATTACAATGAAGCAAATAATGTAAATAAGATTTCTAGAAATTTCATTTTGCGTCGATAGGAGTCAGTTGGATGGGAACTTTAATTGACTTCTGCATATTACTTGCTATCACTTATCTACACAGAGTAGTTTAAGCCTTCATGGAACTTATATTACTTTGAAGATTTCGACCTGCACTTCTCACGGCTCATTTCCGTAGTTATACAACTAACTGTTCACGTTCTAATAGCTTATAAATAAATCTCTTTACATTAAGTAAAGAAAGCATGTAAATGCATCTTTAAAGCATAACAATGATAATCACAAAAGAGCGAACAGTGAAAAATGCATGTCTTTTATGATTCCTTTATAGAAACTGCTTGAAATAAGCAACTAAAACAATCGAAAATTTTACAATTTCATGTGGTAGGCGTGTATATTGAAGGAGAAGATCTATCAACCATTGATAACGCAAAGAGAAAGCACAACCTTTCAACTTGAAATCTGCATTGACATGTTAGTGACATTCAGTCTTAAAACCAGATGCATATTAAATAGGTGTGTGCTTTTCTTTCTATAACTCCTTACATAACATGATACAAGAGTTTTTAACCAACTAGATGTTTAGTAACATACACTATTATCCTAAGTTTCCTGCTTCATTTCTCCACATATTTAACACAAAACATAGTAGCCCTGATGAAACATTTTAAGCAAATCGGAGCAGTCATTTATTTAATATACTGTTTAACTCATCTTAAGTGCGTTAAAAATGAAACTTTTTCTGACCAAATTGTGTGAGACAGCTCTGCTCAGCCGATTGGTTGGTGATTTTAACCCTAAGAATACTTTCTTTGTAGCGTCATGACAACCAATTCCATTCTAATAAATGTACTCATAACTTGAAACGGACAGTTTTTAAACTGTTTAAGTATATCACGATACATACTTATATTTCTCCTAACAAAGCTTTGATTTGTACAAGATATCATTGAGATTTCTTTTAGGAATAAATAAGTGCGGAGCACAGAAATACTCTGTTTGCATATAAAAGCGACATAAAGTACTCGTGTTTTAATGTAGTGTAATAGCATACACTGTTGCATTTACCTCAGCTTATCAATGATGTCAGTAGAAAAATTCAGTTTGCAAAAAACAGTATTATGCCAGTGAAATCGAGCTGTCTAAATGTGGAAGATTGATCACTAAGTAGTGCTTTGGATGAATTATCAGAATAGCTATTTTAACACGTATTGTTTGCATTGACGCTTTCCAGAGAACTCAAGTGATGTGGAATTCAAGAGCTCCATAATTATGATGGACAATACTTATGTATTCCTAATTCAGTAATTGCATTACTTAGATTCCACCGACCATTTATACTGCTACTGGTAAGAGTTTTATATTCTTGTGGGTTGTAAACGTAACTACTCCTTTGAAATTCACCTAAATATGGACAGATATTTTGACATTAAAGGATTTATTACATGTTAATATTTAACTAATTATGAACCTCATTTTTAGCTCTAAGTCTATTAAAGGGATATTTGAAATTGAAGTAGATCTCTGTACTGTACTTTTATTAATTCATTCTCTTGAGAAAGTATATACCGTTCATATGCTACGTGAATTATATGACATGACAAATGTTGTCAGTGCCTGAAAATATCTCTTGCACAACTCAGTAGCCTGGAATTTCACCTTCTGCTGTTATCTGAGACAGATTTCAGCCTTCAGTCTCCATTGATGCTCATTTAAATTTGGCTAAATTTCATTGACCTGCATCGAATTTGACTAGTCGTCTTCTTTGGAAACTTCTGCTACTCACTGCCCAAAGCAAACATTCCATTACTGTCTGCTGGAAAATACTCTGCAAATTTAAGTCTTCAAGACTAAAGCATGGGAATTCAGAAAATAAGAATGTCTACTTAAAAATGATAGAAACATCCAGTTACCTGCGATTTTGTCTTTCTTGGATGAGTTCGAATACTTCACATAAAAATTGCTTCAAAATGTATTTTGCCATTGAATAATATTTGATAATTTCTTCAATTTCAATATGCTAAGCAAAATTCATATGTGTCGACCAGGATTGAAATCAAATTTACATCCGATATTTCATGATATATTCACTGTTATCATTATCACTATGTACTTGACATGTTTTTCATCGAGGATTGTTTGTCTAAGAGCCGTTTGTATTATCAAATAAAATGAGATTCCCTTTCATTATTCTAAGAAACTATGAATCAATGTATTAGCATAATAATTTCCACATTTCACAGGCACTTAATTTCTTAGATTTTTGTGTTGTTGCTCAATGTCTCGCAATAAATTTTTTCCATTTTAATCGCTAAAGTAAGAAAATGATACGATTGGTTGACACAAATTATATGACCTTCATTGCTGGTAGCCAATCAGAAAAAAATTAATATTCGCTTCATTTCAAATAATCCCAATTACTTTGAATTTCTTCTGAAACCAGGAACACGCCTAATGCATACATTTTAGAATTTATCTGTATTCTTTTTTTAAGTTCAAAGATGAACAATAAATAAGGTGAGTGCCTGTCTTTCGCTTTTCCAAAAAATAGTTATTGGTGAGTACTTTTGATCTTTCCATTTCCACTGAAAAAAATTGACTACTCCATTCTACTTGCTTTTAAACGAATTAATTATTGTACAGAGGTTCACTCCGATTTCTTTATGCTGTAAAAAGGAGGATTTTGATTCTTTTCATTCAAAACGATTTATGATTTTCAGTTCATCAGTATACAGACAGTCGGTAATTTGAGTCCATATTAGATTGGATTTATAACAAAGTGACAGTATTTGCGTGATGACTTTTCAAACACAAACTATTGGTCATGGTCATATCACTGTAATCACACTGCTTTCGAAATCTGATTCTGTCGTCATGTCATCCTATATGATTTGTTTTTATTGGTAGTAAAGTTTTCTGCATCTCTGGTATGGGTGTCGCATTATTTCTATTACATGTGTTGGGTGTGATTCGATGAACGAGGATTCAGTAATCAATCCCTCTCTCCTTCTAATCATATTGAACTTAATAACAGTAGTTTTATCCCACCCTATTGTGTGGTTGTGTGTTAGTTCACGTATTTCAATAGCTGGGTTTTTCCTAGATTATTGATCTTAGTGTCATTCTTTATTTAGCTAGATTCCTATGTTCCGCTGATCTAGGTGACCCCAAACGGCCAGTTTGACCTATGTACCTGATATCAGTCGTTGGATGGAATTTGGTAGATTAGATTATTTTGCGTAATTGGATATATAGGACCCTTTTGCCAACAAAGTTTATCTCTGAATGAGTCCGTAGGTTTGCATAGGAGTGAAGGAATATGCATCTAAATGTGATAAAGGATAATGTTATAAAATAATGGTTAAGAAAAGTTATCAAGGTAGAGTGAGGTTAACCTTAGCTTTTTTGAACACACAAGTTAGTTTTAGGGTGTTTGATGGCTATAATCTCAGTAAATTTCAGTATAGTTAGGCTTGTTCCTTTGTTTTTATCTTGTTTTATTTAGGGAGGTCTGCATGATGTCCAGTGTTAATCATATGCTGAGTGTTGGGTTTTTTAGTGTTACTTGACCTAACTTTAAGGCTCTACAAAGTGTGTTCAGGAATAAAAGATAAGTTCCTCTTTATTTTCTTGCAATATATCCACTGTGGCAGCTACTCCTTAATTGATATACACAGTAGTAGGTAACACAGGAAAGATACCTGTTGACATCTGACTGGACAAAATGAAAGTTGTTTGGTACACAGAAATTAACCTAGCTGTGAAGGAAGTTATAACCAGCGACTTCTTTGATCCTCTGTTAGTATTTCCAGCAATGTTATGCACTACTTTTAAAACCGAGATTGATGAACACAGCTTCTGTGCTGATTGTAGTTTTCTTCATGATTTTATCTTCTCATTTTCCATATCTGTCGATAGACCTTCGTGGATATCCATTGTCCGTAGGCATCTTTCAACTGTTCCAAATTCTTCGTCCACTTTTTCACTGGAACGTGTCATTTTATCTCTATGAATTAGGGCTTAAGCTAATCCCAGTTTGTAGTTAGGGGCATGAAAACTATTCATATTCAGGTAGTTACCATCTAACATATTCTTTTATTGAGCGAATCATTGGATCACACGTCTGCCCCTTTCTGTATGGTGATACCCAAACATTTGGACTCTCTGTCATTTTCTTACTCCATGGTACACTCAGTGTTGTTGTGAGCATTGTTAAAAAGTCATAACAAGTGAGATGCATGGAATAAATCATTACAAAAATAAAAGTGTCATCGACGTACCTGGTGTAAGACTTCATCTCATCGAGTGCATCTCTAAGTTTTGTATTCTGTAGATTTGGTACGAAGATATCCGCAAATATAGGACCTAATGGGCACACCATAGATACCTCATCAATTTATTAGTAGCATTTTCTGTTAAATTGGAAGTGAACATCCCTAATGCTTATTAGTAGGGGGCGTCTGTTGCTGGCATAGGGAGAGAATCAAGATGCTGCCGTATGATAAGTATGGTTTCCTGGATAGGTTCATCTTGGAATAAGGAAGCTAATTCTGATGTTGTTTATCAAATTGTCTCGAACCTTAACCTTCCTTCTTGGTTACATTTATCTGCTCTCGATAAAATTACATATTCCGGTTGTTACTCTTTTTTATTTGGACATAACTGATATTGTAAAGCAAGAAAACGTGATAAGCACTTGATAGTGACGAAAATGATCATTTAGCTACATACTGAAGTTTCATAGACATTTATGAAGTACATTTGCTAAAATAATTTAAAAGATGAGCGAATTCAGATCAAAATATCATGCATGCATTTAAGCAGTAAGTGTTCTCTTGAGTACAAACGAATTATTTTTGTCACGTTGATGTTCAAACAATTGTGAGTGTAAGGCTTGTGTTCAAAGTTTTATTGACATTCGGTGTACCTGTCACTTAGTATGTGCTTGATACGATAGTCAGTGCAAACAGTAAAGGTTATGTATCATTTCATTTTTTAGTTACAAGAAAACTAGATAAGACGTATCACATACATTTTGGTCAACTATGCATAGGTTTCAGAACAAACGAATAATTTTGAAAGGTTGTTTATTACTAACTGATATTATCTAAGATGTCGGTTACAAACAGAAATTAATGGTCGTCTGTTTAAAACTGTTGAAGTGATTACAGCCATGACCCTACATTGGTGTCCACAAGTGAATTAGAGCCTGGTAACAGTTTAGTCGGGGTCCTTTATTTAACATTGTTCATATTCACAAACTGACGGATTAGTATGACCGCTAACTGATATCATCATCAAGATACAGCTCAAATTTCTTACTTCACTGACTTCATTTGTTGCAGATTCTTTGGTGGAACTTTTAAAGATCTAGTTTAACTCCAAGCAACTGATAAACATAGAAAAGTAAGAAACATGTCTGAATAAAACTGTTTGAAATCCATATATTTTTCAGCTCTCAGTAGAGTTTAGCTAGAATGTATGATATGAAAATGCACAAAAATTGGAAGGAGAACAAAGAGGATGAAAGGCATGTATGCATGAATTTATTTATCACAGATGAATTTGTGGTAGCAAGATATAAATTGACAACCAAACCTTCATTACATTTGAATAATTGACCGGAAAACTGCTGATGTCGCGATGCTTATTTTGGAATCTGGTGTCTTGAATCATTTTCATGAAAGAAAAACAAGTATTAGTTACGAAGTGATTAAATGACCGTAAATTGGAGTTATAATACTATCTTGTATTATATCTATATATCTATATTCAGTTATCAGCTTGAATCTCTAAAGTCATAAATCTGACTTGATAACAGGATGTTTTCTAGCGCATGTGAAGATAAAGTTATTTTTACCTCTAGTTAAGTATTATTACTTACTTAGAGCATATGCAAGTGAAGTACATGCAAACATGGAGATGTAGGCAAAACAAACATTCTATCAGGTTCCAGCTAGTTAAGTTTTTTAACGTAATGTATAACGTGCTTATCTTAGTCAGTATTCGTCGCTAAGACGTTATTAGATCAAAAAAGTCTTTAAAATGTCCTATTCCCTAACGTTTTATTGCATTCATAGGAAATGCTTTCTGTGGAAGTTAATTCTAGCAAATTTTTCTCAAAGTAGTCTTATATCTACAAGACGTGAACTCTTCCCTTATTATTGTTTTTCATTTTGGAAGGAAGGAAGATTCATATGGCAGGTATTCTTCAAATTTGACAATCCACCAAAAGCGTAGCCACCACAGGAGATTTGAGAATACCACTTAAGATCTTAGAGTATTAGATCAGTCAGAAAAATTAACTCACTTCTAAACATCCTTTTCTTTCATGTGAACAAGTTTGAGAAAAAATTGTCGTGAAAAATCAAGAAACCACTTTGATTCCGCAGCTGCGACAGCTGTGACCATACTGCAGACAGAACTTAGTCAGTACCAATGTATATGTAATCTGATTTTAGTTGTAATCAAGTGATTAAACTATTTATGACCCTCTCCTAAAACATGAATAGTCGAGTAAGCGTATGCCAGGTGTCATCCTGATGACTTGAACTGACTGTTTTCAGATACCACTAGGGTTAACAACAAAACTTGGGCTGATACACTAAGACTGATCGTTCACTTTAATCAGAATGACTAGATAGTTATTTTGAATCATCTTCGTTAAGTGATAAATGTCAAACTTTTGAACCAAGTGAAAGATTATGGAATTATTTGAATTTCAAGACACATTTTGAAGAAGAAAAACTAACAGGTCTGAACACAAAACTCCAGTCCTTCACTCTATACTATCTAAATTACAAAAGTGCCAGTTTTCACAGGTTTGATTTGCCAGTAAATAAAAAAGGAATGCATGATGGAGGGAATTTTTATTTCATAGATAGCAGCATGAAAATGAAGGAAATCAAGTTGGTATTCATCGGGGACTGGGATCAGTTGGGGGGACCTATGAAAACCTGGAGGCACTGGAAAGTCTGTTTCTTTTCAGTATCGCACTCATCAGGAGTGCGTGCACACGACTCCATCGGCCGAAACCACTACCTTCATGCTTCATGGTGAGGATGTTATCATTGAACCAGTAAGTAGAATTCAAAAGCTCACATTTTCTCACTTTCGTTAATTCGCAAAATAGCGTCACCATCCAATGCCATAATTGAGTATTTGTCCTCGGGTGAGATATAATTCGCTCTACCAGTCATGACCTCGTATCAAATTTTCGGGAAATCTTACCCCGAATCATGTCAAGTAAGGAAGTGTGGATCATTTAATTCCGACCCAGTAGGCCAATGGTAACCTACTCGCTACGAAACCGGAATGTCTTTGGTTTGACTACTGGTGGATGTGGGGGGGGGGCTTACTATTCAGGTGTTCCCTGCTAGGAGGAAACAGCTGTCTAGTGCTCCCAGGCTTTCAACGGTTCTTCATCTATTGTC